AACGGGAAATTATGAAAAATACTCTCTGTGTGTCACTCCTCAGAGACTAAGTCCACAACACCCTCACACAGCCACAATTCTTAATGTATTTTCTGTAAGTTAACACAAAGTATTGTGTATTTGTCCTCCTATCTAGGGAGTAAATAGAAAGTAGGAAAGGATAGGTTTGGATTTTGTGTTTGCATGTTATCCTGGATTTGGGACTTCATCTCTGGAGGGTGCGTAGCTCTTGGTAACAAATAACATGTGATAAATTATGGGTAACATAAGGGGCTGTGCATATTATATCCCTTCATGGAATTTACCTTGTTTTGATTATTGGTTTTATTATTGGTGTTAGCAATTAGTGATTAAACATACCAGTCGGATGGAAAGGCATGTGAATATGAGAAAGACTTGACTTCACAGTAGAAGTAGAAAGATTAATAAATAGGAAATGAAAAATTATATATGGTTATCTTTATTTAGTATTTGTTGGAGGAATTTCATAGTAAATTTGCATTAATCCTACAAAATTCTTATTAGTACTTGCAAACAAGAAACTACATCTTAAATAAGTTTGATAAAGAAGACACCCGTTGTGGCTTTTATATTTTCTTTTAATGATAATAGATATTTTCTCAAAATGAACTTGAAACTTGATATTAATTGCAATGGAAGGCCAAAAATCCTAAGTCAAGTGTAATAGTTACGCATTCTTGAGGAACTACTGCAGCCTCTTTACTTTACACAAACTTCCACCAAGTATATATGGTAAGATGAGTGTAGACTTATTTCTTATTAAAAGTAAATCACCTGATATGTCTGTAAGCTTTATTTTGTCTTGATATATGGAGTGGAGGTTTGCTGTATTTTACCTGAGTGCCCACAGGTGTATCAGATGCACATGTAGCTTCTAATATTAACTTTAAATTTTGTCAACAGTGTTTATATTTATTTATTGTCAACAGTGTTTATATTCATGCAGTAACCTAAAGTATAATCACAGTGAACTGGTAATTAATTATCACTGTTATGTTGCAGTTGTGGAACTGACAGTAACTGATTATAGGTCTGAAATTTTATTTACAAGGCATATGCATAACTCATTGGCACTGAGTAATTACACTGTCTACTGTAGTTTTATTTAGTGAATTTTATTTACATGGAAAGTACTTAGTTACTAAGGAGTCGGTTAGTAGGCCTACCTGACCTCACCTGTTATTCCCATTCCTTGAATTTTGGGGAAGCATATTTAAGTGTTTTAATACTATTAATGTCATCGCAGCTGTTATTATTACTGTTAACATTGGGAATATTATAATATTATCAGTACTAAGAGCAATAACATAAAAAAGTAAACTGCCAGGAATCATGGAAAAGGGCAAACAGGTAGTTGTAACTGACTCCTTAATGACTAAGCTTTTGTGGATCTTTTTAAGCAAAATGGATAAACTAAAATTACAGTTGACATAGTGTATATGTACATGCCATTCCAGTGTCAGCACATCAAACTTTATCACACAAAACATTTAAATAATTCTTGTGATGCTGGCTTGTGGTTAGAGGGTAAGCTAGGTTAGGTCATTGATCCACTGGATCTGGATGCTTCAATGTCATCTTGTGGCCCAAAACATGGGCATTAGGCTGTGCAGCTTGTAGGCTGGGCTTACACGAACAATTGTGCGTGGTGACAAGATTCCATACAATGTTACTTTCTCTTTTTCTGTATAAGTATTTTTAGCTTTTTTTTTTCGTATTTTCCAATACCTATATTAGTCATTTGATTTCCTATATCCAGTTGGTAATAGACAATTTCTCTTGCACAGGCTCACTTAAGTAGTCTGTAGCACAGTGCAATGATAATAACAATAAGTAACACTGATATTTGTTTCATTAGAAAAAAAAAAAAATTCATAACATTAAATTTTTTGTGAAACAACTTGTGCCGCTGGTCATAGCAGACAGGAATAGGATCCTGAGTATGGAAATAGCATCCTCCTTCTAGCTGGCACTCTTCCAGTCATAACTCATAGATGGTATATTGCACACTCGTTTATTGGGGGAAATAATGTAAAAGCCCATTCCTTATACGATTATATTTACTCTAAATAATGTAAAAAGTATGAATATGCACATGTGATTCCTGAGACCTATCTTGTAATCTGTGCTCCATTGTAAAATGTCTTTCTTGCTTTCTGCTGTGTTGTGGATAAGTCTGTCGGAGAGGTTTCTTATTTAGAGTTTCAGGCAGTACCCATTCTTGTGTTATGTACAGTACTAGTACTTGTAAAATGTATGGGCCTCCAAAGGTGGTCCTATGTTCTCAGGCATACTAATTGGGTTAGATCATTTGCATGTGGAAAGTTCATATGTATATGCAGAATTAATAGAAAAAATTCCAGTGTTGTAGGTCCGTATTAGGTTGGTTAGGGCAGAATAGACTAGATTAAAAGTGGGAGGTATGACAATTGCTTAATTTCCCTAATACTGGGTATAGTTTTCATCATATTATCTATTTTCTTTTGTGCAGTTTCTGATGGATATGTCATAGATGAAAGTGTCTTGTGAATTAGCTGTCCACTACAGACTAGAAATTGATAGACAGATTCTCATGTATCTGTTGAAAATATTGGATAAGAACAATAAGGATTTAAAAACAAAAATATATCTCACGAGTCATGAGTGTCAAAATTTAAGTACAGTTCACATGTGACGAAAAAGACTGGGTTCCTTAGTCCAAACTCTAATCATGATCCAGTTATCATTGAAGACGAGGATTGCTTAACTTCTGAACAGCTGGTGGTTGAATAGATGTTTCATTATATTCAATACAGGCAGGTTGACATTTTTCATGTGTTTACAGTATGTATATAAAAGATATTTAGATATTTATTCAGTTTATCTTAACTCTAGTGTTTGTCATAGTAAGTTAAAAAAAAAAAAAATTTTGTTTGCATTGAAAGAATTTAAATGTGAACTTTCATCAGGAAGTCAACAATGTTTTGTGTATGAATGGTAAAGATTATACAGTGAACTTTGAAATACACTTACAGTGTAAATTTAAGGATTATTTTTGTAATGAATTTAAAAACATAAATGTACTCAATAGCATTTTTATAAAACTAGTAAGGTAGTACCATGAGAAACCTAAAGTGTGTTAATTTCTTTACAGCAAGGTAGTTTTATTGATTTACTTTGACGTCTTTAGACACACTGAACTATTTAAGATATATAATTATTTTATGGACATTCTGCTGTTAAGAACCAGCTGTTGGACAAGTTGAAGCTGCTGGAGAAAGTTGTTAGTGGAGTCACTTTTTTAAGCAATAATATTTAGTATGGAGATATATAGCTACCTTTTTTCAGTCAGTGGACAGAACAATAGATTTTTGGAATAGGTCTTTGTTTGTGGATATGAATTTATACTGGAAAAGAATGAAAAATTTCATAGAAAACAGACAGTGGTAAACTGAGGGACCCAAAATTGTTTGATCTTTTTTCATCTAAATATATGTTCAGCCATGTGCTGCATAATGTCTGCTTGGTCAGTATATAATAGTATGTACTGTATTTCCATGGTATCCTTCATATATTGTGTATCATGTGTCCCTGTGAGTATTGTACTGCATCTCTCTCTATAATCATCTTGAAGATACTACCATGGAGTGCATCATGGCATCCAGATACAGTAAAAACAGCAATTTTTATCAGTACATTGTTACCACAGTTCTAATTAAGTAGTCGGCTGCATAAGCATAAGGCATTATACCATATCGATATTATTATTGTTATTATTAGTGTTATCATCATCCTCCTCCTCATCACAATTTCACCAAGGTGCTGCTTGCTGCACCTTACTATAAGAAGACTACCAAACTCATAATGAAAGTTTGTGTGACAAGTTAAGCAATTATTCATTGGTTAAAAACATTTGCACACTAGAGAGTATTTCTTATTTATTGATACATTTCATTTAAAATACTTTTGATTCTTTTGATTTCTTCTATCAAGTTTATTTATTTTAGAAAAGTAATATCATTAATGATATAACTATTACTGCTGATGTTATTTTTGTTTTTAGTATGAGTCATAGTATTAGTAATATGTATTTGTTATTGTTATTTGTCATTATTAATGGTTTGTATTCATGCAATAGAATCATCCCATCTGACTTGATATTCCATTAAAAAGACTGTATATCCTGTTGTACTCACTATTTATCTAATGAAATATATCCCCCTTAAAGACAGATACCCTTTA